TGGTGCCACCTCTGTCCCCCTGTCCCCAGTAGTGCCACCCCCATCCCTGTGTCCCCGGTGGTGCCACCCCTGTCCCCGGGTGGCACTGCCACTTCTGTCCCCCTGTCCCCAGTAGTGCCACCCCCATCCCCGTGTGGCACTGCCACCCCTGTCCCTGTGTCCCCGTGCTGTGCGGCAGTGCCATCCCCATCCCCACATTGTGTGGGGGCTCCATCCCTGTCACCACCTTACATGCCAATGCTACCCCTGTCCCCGTGTCCCCCCCGTCCCTGTGTCCACACACTACATGGCAGTGCCACCCCCTGTCCCTGTGCCACGAGGTGATGCCAACCCTGTCCCTGTGTCCCCAGTGGTGCTGCCCACATCCTAATGCCCTGGCACTGCCACCCGTGTCCCTGTGTCCCCTCTGACCCGCAGGGAAGCGGTGCCACCCCTGTCCCCCTGCTCCCTGTCGGTGCCCTCTTAGTCCCCGTGTCCCCCCTTGGCCCCAGGGGTGGTGACAGGGCTGTCCCTGTCCCTGTGTGCCAGCCTGGAGCAGATGGTGGCCGCCAGCCCCGGGAAGACGCCCATCAGCCTCCTGCAGGAATATGGGACACGCTTAGGACGGACCCCCGGCTACGACCTGCTCAAGGCCGAGGGCCAGGCCCACCAGCCCAACTTCACCTTCCGCGTCACCCTCGGGGACATCAGCTGCACCGGTGGGACCCCAACCCCTCTCTGACCCCCCCAAACCACTCCTGATGCCCCCAAACCCCTCCTGACTCCCCCAAGCCCTCCCAGACCTCCCCAAACCCCTCCTGAAGCCCCTGTCCCCTCAGGGACATCAGCTGCACCAGTGGGACCCCAAACCCCCCAGTCCTCCCCAAACCCCTCCCAACCCCCCGTGTCACCCTCAGGGACATCAGCTGCACCAGTGGGACCCCAAAACCCCCAAAAACCTCCCCCTGACCCCTCTGTCACCCTTGGGGACATCAGCTGCACCAGGGGGACCCCAAACCCCTCCTGACCCTCCCCAAACACCTCCTTACCCCCCCGTCCCCTCAGGGACATCAGCTGCACCAGGGGGTCCCAACACCTCCCCACCCAGGCCATGGGCCCCCCTCACCCCCCAGGGTTTCCCCCCATGCAGGGGAGGGTGAGGAGGGGGGGGCCACAACCTGAGGAGAGGTGACGGGGGTGTCACACTTTGGGGGGGGCTTGTCCCAGGGAGGAGGAGGAAACCCTGGGACCCCTGGAAAAGTGGGTCCTGGCAGGGGATCCCCTGGGATGCTCAGGGGTCCCCTGGGCCTGCAGGAGGTGGGTGGTGGGGAGGGGCCCCCCGGGTGCCCCCCCTGAGCCCCCCTGGTGCCCCCCAGGGCAGGGCCCCAGCAAGAAGGCGGCGAAGCACAAGGCGGCCGAGGTGGCCCTGAGGCTGCTCAGAGGTGGGGGGGCCATGCTGGAGCCCCCGGAGCACAGGTGGGGGGTCCCAGGAGGAGTGGGGGGGGTGTTCAGTGTGTCCAGGAGGGGCTGGGGGGCAGTTTGGGGGGAGGGGGGTGTGCCCAGGCAGTCTGAGGGTACCAAGGGGTGAAGGGCACCAAGGTTTGGGGGGTGATCTGCGGGGCAGGAGGGCGTCCAAGGGAGTTTGAGGGTACCCAGGGGGGCTTGGGGATCCCATGGGATTTGGGATCAGTTAGGTTTGGGGGTATTCAGGGGGTTCGGGGGGTGCCTGGACAGGGTGAGTGTACCAGGGGGGTCTGGGGGTGCCCAGGGGCGTCTGGGGGTGCCTGGGGAGGTCTGAGGGTACCGAGGGGGGTACAGAGGTACCCGTGGGGGTCTGGGGGTACCCAAGGGGTTCAGGGGTGCCTGTGGGGGTCTGGGGTGCCCAGGGTGTGTCTGGGGGTACCCAAGGGGGTCTGGGGGGAAGTGAGGGTACGAGGGGGGGTCTTGGGGTGCCTGTGGGGATCTGAGGGGTCCAGGGGTGCCCGTGGGGGTCTGGGGGTGCTCAGAGGATGCCAGTTCAGGCTTTAACATCTCCCCTTTCTCCCCCAGCTCTCCTTTCCCCCCAGAGCCCCCGGCTGAGCCCGGCCCTGCTGCTGCCCCCCCAGCCCCTGCCGTGCCCCCTCCCTCGCCCAGGTAACAGGGGGGGTACCCAGTGCCAGGATGGGCATGGGGGCACGGTGTGTCCCCCCCAAACCCCCCATCCCGGCATCCCGTTACCCCACTGAGCCCCCCAAGGCAGGGGGTGTGTGGGGTGCCCCCCTCATCCTTCTACTCCCCACAGGGGGCCCCCCCTGGAGATGAAGACACCCGTGTCCCCCCCTCAGTCGGAGTGTAACCCCGTGGGGGCTCTGCAGGTGGGTGACACCCATTTTGGGGCCTGTTGTTCCTGCTTGGGGACAGTTATCCCCATTTTGGGGCTGGTTATCTGCGTTTTGGGGCCCGTTGTTCCTGCTTGGGGACAGCTATCGCTATTTTGGGGCTGGTTAACCCTGTTTTGGGGCCCATTGTTCCTGTTTGGGGACAGTTATCCCCGTTTTATGGTCGGTTATCCCCATTTGGGGGCTGACTATTCCCATTTTGGGGCCCGCTATTCCTGTGTGGGGACAGTTATCCCCGTTTTATGGTCAGTTATCCCCATTTTGGGGCTGGTTAACCCCATTTTGGGGCCCATTGTTCCTGTTTGGGGACAGTCATCCCCATTTTATGGTCAGTTATCCCCGTTTTGTGGCTGGTTATCCCCGTTTCGGGTGCTGCCGGCCCCTTTTGGGGCGGTGTCCCCGTTCAGGGGGTGTCCCTGTCCCAATTTCCCCCGTCCCCAGGAGCTGGTGGTGCAGAAGGGCTGGCGCCTGCCCGAGTACACGGTGACCCAGGAGTCGGGGCCGGCGCACCGCAAGGAGTTCACCATGACGTGCCGCGTGGAGCGCTTCGTGGAGATCGGTGAGCCGCGGGCCGGGGGGCACACGGGGACCCCCGGGGTGTCTGTGGGGACGGGGCAGGGTGTCCTGGCTCACCCCAGGGCGCCGGGCCCCCTCTCCCCAGGCAGCGGCACCTCCAAGAAGCTGGCGAAGCGCAACGCGGCCGCCAAGATGCTCGTGCGGATCCACAACGTGCCGATGGAGCCGCGCGACGGCAGCGAGGCCGAGGGCGAGGAGGACCAGTTCAACATGGTACTGGGGGGCACTGGGGGGCCCCGGGGGCACCCCGAGGGGTTAGCAGGGGCGCGGGCACCCCAAAGCCACCCACAGTGGGGGAGGCGGGACCCTCTGCACCCCCCACTCCACGGCCCAGTGAGTAACTTGGGGGGGACCCTCTGGATTTGGGGTCCCTGTGGGGTGGGTGAGTGTGGTCCCCGTGGGTGTCCCGGTGTGGGGGTCCCTGCAGTTCTCATGTCCCTGGGGGGTGCTCAGTGGTCCCAAGGGGGGTTGGCAGGTTCCTGAGTGCCCTGTGCTCCTCCCCAAGACGTGCCCCCGGCTGGAGGGGCTGCGGGGCCGAGCCCCCGGCTGTACCTGGGACTCCCTGAGGAACTCGGCGGGCGAGAAGCTGGGGCAGCTGCGGAGCCGGGGGGGAGCCCCCGCCCCGGGGGGGGCCTGTGCCCTCCTGCAGGAGCTCTCGGAGGAGCAGAGCTTCGCCATCAGCTACCTCGACATCGGTGAGCATCTGGGACCCCCAGGACCCCCTTAAACCCCTCTGCTCCTCCCCAGGCACCCCCACCTTCCCCAGGGTAACCCCACGCCACCCAGACAATGCTGGGACCCCCTTAGCCCCTCTGCTCCTCCCCAGGCACCCTACCTTCCCCAGGGTACCACCATGCCACCCGGACAATCTAGGGTCCCCCACTTACCCCAGGGCATCCCCACCCCACCTGGATACCCCAAGGACCCCCTTAGCCCCTCTGCCCCTCCCCAGGCACCTCAGATTACCCCCACCTCCCCCAGGCACCCCCATCTCTCCCAGGACACCCTTTCACTCCCTCTGCCCCTCCCCAGGCACCCCCCCCCAGCCCCATGGGTGCCCCAAGCCGGGCTCAGGGGGTGCCGTGGAGGTGTCGGGGTGACCCCTGGTGTCCCCCCCAGACGCGCTGAGCCTCAGTGGGCTGCACCAGTGCCTGGTGGAGCTCTCGACGCAGCCGACCACCGTGTGCCACGGGGCCGCCCCGTCCCGCGATGGCGCTCGCGCCCAGGCCGCCCGCAACGCCCTGCAGTACCTGCGCATCATGGCGGGGGGCAAGTGACCCCCCCGGGGGCGAGTGACCCCCCCCGACACACCCACGGGCGCACGGACACTCCCCAGGACTCGCTGGACTCACGGTGGGGCACCCGGCCCCCACCCACCACCTCCCGGACACAGGGACCCACTTGGGTCTGCGGATGGACAGACAGACGGACCTCAGGGCCCAGGGGCTCTCTCCGGCCTGGACCCCCCCCAACAGCAGCGCCAGGAGGGTCCCCGGGCACCATCGGCCCCCAGGAATAAAGCTGGGGGGGTTTGTACTCCCCGTGTTGGCGTCTGCTTGGGGGGCTGGAGGGGCTGGGAGGCAGAAAGGGGGCTGATCCCTCCTCTCCCCGACCCGTCCCCCAGGGGTAAAAGCAGAGTGAGCGCTCAGGGGTGGGGGCAGCACTTTATTGGGTGATGGACGGACCCACGGACGGGCTTGGGAGGGGCTCGGCTCCGGGAGGGAGGGACAGATGGACGGACTCGGGGACGGACGCTCAGCGGCGGCGGCCGAAGCGCTGCGGGGTCGCCATCGTCCAGAACGGGGCGAGCGGGGGGTCCCAGCTCCGGGGGCTGAGCCGGGCCTGGTTCCCCCCCTGCGGCCCCCACCCCGACCTGCCGGGGGGACACGGCACCGCTGAGCCCTGGCGGGGACAGGATGGGGACGGACGGGATGGCTGGGTGGGAATGAACGAGTGGATGGGACAGATGGGAATGGGCTGAGGGACACGGACAGACAGACACAGGACGTTCACAGACAGACGGACATTAACAGGGACCCCCATCCCTGCACCGCTCCAGCTTCTCGCTCCGGTCCCCCGAAACCCCCCGCGTCCCCCTCCACCTCCTGGGTCCCCCTGTCCCCAGCTCCGTCCCTCGCAGTGCCTGGGACGTCCCCCCCGTGCCCCCAGACCCCACACCCCGGGACCCCCATCCCCGCTCACCTCTGGGGCTGGAGGAGGGTCCCGGGAGGGCGGCCGGGGCGTTGCAGGGACCGGAGCAGCGCGCCCAGGGCGGCGGCGGCGGGGGGCGGCCCCGGGGGGGCGGCGGCGGCGGCCTGTGCCGGGGGAGGACCGGGGGTCACGGCGGTCCCGGAGCCAGAGTGTGACCCCCCCCTCCAATCATCCCGAGCCTCCCCCCGTCCCAAACCGAACCCCCCGTTCCGACGGCGCGGCCGGGCCGGGGCTCACCTGGGCCGGGTCGAGGGTCCCGGGGCAGCAGCGGGCGCTGCGCGGGGTCCCCGCCAGCAGCAGCAGCAGAAGCAGCACCGGTCGTCCCGTCATCCCCCCCGCCATCGCCCCCGCCACCGCCACCGCCGCCGCCTCTTATAGCCGGGCCGGGCCGGGGGCTCCCAGGGGAGCGGGGGGCGGCGGGGACCAGTCCCGGTTAATGAAACCCATTTACCAGCCGCGACAGCCGCCCCCGGGGACGGACGGACGGATGGACGGGGCGGTCCCGCACATCCCCGCCCCGCCCGGGACCCGCAACCGGCACCACCACTAGGGCTGCCCGCACCGGCGAAGAGAGACCCCCGACCCATCGCCGGGACCCCCGTCCTGCACCGGCACTACCTGAGAACAGGACCCCGGCCCGTACTGACCCCCATCCTCCCTGCATCGCTTCCCTACCGGATCAGGACCCCCGGAGACAGGGACCCCTCCCCTGTCCCGGTACCCCCTCTCCGGGGACCCCCTGAGACAGGGCCCCCTCCATTGCACCGCCCCCCCACCGGATCAGGACCCCCTGAGGCAGGGACCCCTCCCTGCCCCAACATCCCCTCTCCGGGGACCCCGTGAGACAGGGAACCCCCTCCGGGCACCCCCTGAGACAGGGCCCCCGCCCTGCCCCGGACCCCCCGAGACGGGGCCCCCTCCCCTTTCCGGGGACCCCCCGTCCCCCCCCGCTCCGCCGCGTCTCGCTGCCGCCACCCGGTGGCCCCGCCGCGCTCCTGCAGCCCCGACGGCGCGGCCGCGGCTCCCTCCGACCCAAAACCTGCCGAAATCGCCCCAAACGCTCACCCGAGGCTGCCCCGCGCCACTGCGGCGTCCCCACAAGCGGCTCACCCGCTGTGTCACCCGGGGAGGGGACGCGACACGTCCCACGCCGTCCTGAGTCCAGGCGGTGTCACCGCGGTGGTGACCGAGGGTCATCACAGCACCCTCCACCCGCTGACACCCGCATCGTGAACCCCCCCCGGGCACACTCAGGGGTGTCCGTGGCACAGGTGACACCGGGGATGT